ATTCAACAATCTGGCCCCACTCTGCCCCCATATTCACCTGGCTGCAGTTTCATTGATCTTCAAGGAGACTGGCTGATATGGGCCTTAGTGATGCCATCTTTAAGTACTGGGCACCCAAGTGAAGACCTGGGGCAAGGATGGGTGTGGGTGTGGGTGTGGGTATGGATATGTGTGTGTGGAGTGGGTATAGAGAACCAAGACTTCAGGGGTTTTTTTGTTTGTTTTCTTATGTTTTTAAAATATGTTTTTATTTATTTTAGAGAGAGAGGACGGGAGAGGGAGAGGGAGATAGAAACATCAATGAGAGAGAAATAGCGATCAGCTGCCTCCTGCACGTTCCCTATTGGGGATCAAACCCGCAACCTGGGCATGTGCCCCAACTGGGAATCAAACTGTGACTTCTTGGTTCATAGGTTGATGCTCAACCATTGAGCCATGCTGGTCAGGCCAAATACTTCATTTTAGTTGCATGAGGAGAATCCCTTTTATCTTTTGAAGGGTCTTGAACTAGCAAGAACCAAAAACCTCTTTAAATAATATTTGTCACTCTTTGTCCTGTTTCCTATTTCATTTCAATGCTTTCCTAATATCTCCAGGTAGCCAAGCAGTTTAAAGGGTTCTGGTTTGAGGTTCCCCTGTGCGATGGGCTTGGCCTGGGATTGAGCCTCACAGGTAAATGGTGTGATTTAAAGTACTTTCCAGGGAGGACCAGGGCAGAGGTCCATAGCCTCGACCAGTTGAAGATACCCCAAAGCCATTGGGCACTGAGCTTTGCTACAGACAGAGGAGGCAGCCTGCCTTGGGGCCCCTGAGTCCAGAACTTGACCAGGCACTCCTGACTTTCCCTCACTTTTTTCACCTTCCAGACTGGCCTTTAGCCCTTCCCTAGGTGGCCTTTTAGTGGTGATACTCAGACCAGCTTCACTCATACCCTCCCTCACAAGCAGACTGGACAGTGGCTGGGGTGGGTATGATGGGTGAAATCACCTTTGAAGCTGGAAGAGATGAGATGACATGGCAGAAGGTACATCAGGAAATCAGAGCCCAAAGTCACTGCCTTGCCCCTGCCTTGTAGCCCCACCCCTACTTCACTTCATCTCCCCTCTGTTATGTATTAGTAGGCATTCAATATATGTACATGGAATTGAATTATGAGTTTCTCTTGAGGTAGGAACCTGCTAAGCCACAGATTTTGCTTAGATGTGCTGCCACACACACACGGCACTGAGGAGAAAACCAGGCTGTGAGGAGCCTTCTAACAGGTTCATGGGAAAGGGATGGAGGAATCATAGAGATTGGGCCTGAAGAAGACATGGAGACTTGGGGTGACATATGTGTTTGCAGGTGGCAGGAGCAGGGAACTACAGCCACCATTTTCAGGCCTAGGACACGCCCACTCAGTGATGTCATAATCATGTTCTTCGAAGTTCTGATGACGGCAACCGGCAACCGCAGGTTTGAGCTTCAGACTTAGTGCTTCAGCTTGATGGAGGGAGGAGCTTCTTTAGGAGCAGAGATGGAAATCATTCCTTCGAATAAGCGCAAACCATTTGTCCTTCGAAGTATGTACCCATGGGTAGGGCTGTGGCAGTGGGTGGGGAAGAATGGGTCTTAAGGGGGGTTTCTGGACACCACTTACTATATGGTCTCTTCTGGCTGGGAGATACCCTTATTCTCTGGGTCGGCCTTCCCCCCTCTGCCTCTGGGAATGTTGTGTGTGTGCCTGGTGTGAGTGTGAACATATATGCTGCTGTGACCCTCGCCATCCACTCAGGGGCCCACCAAATAGTGCCTGGTGGGCTCTGAAGCTGAAAACTCTGATTCTTCTACTTTGGTGCCTGACAACTGGTAAGTGCAGCTTCCCAGCATGGCCAGGATGCTGGGCAGTGGCTGGGTCCCGCCTAAGACCCCCAATTCGCATCTCTGGCCTAGCTAGGGCACTGTGGCAGAGGGAAGGTACTGGTCAGATCATATGTGGAGACCCTACTCTCCTTTGGGAAGGGCAGAGACAAGGGTGGAGGGAAGAGATCTGGGCAGGTTAGACCTTGGGGACCTGGTTGTCGAAGAAGCTGGAGCTATTGGGCTGGAGAAAAGACCTCTTCTGCCAGGAAATCTGTGAAGGGTGAGAGGTTGGATTGTGTGTAGGGTGGTGACCCCAAGGTTCAGAGACTGCTCAAGATGGAAAAGACAGCCCATAAGGTAGGTGGCAAGCTCTCTGTGAGTGAAGATATATGAGCAGAAGGTAGGTAACCATTAAGGTAGGTAACCATTAAGGCCTTAAGATATTCACATTCCCAAGGGTCTGTAAATTGGGTACATAGTCGGCACCGATCAAAGCAGCACTGATTTTGCCCTCTGGTCTCAGTTGGGTCCCTAATGATGGAAGCCTGGCAGTTCCAGCTTGCCCAGGAGGCTCCGAGGAGTTGGCAAGAACTGGGTGGGGATGGGGAGGCAGTTGCCTTGTGGGGTCAGCTCCCTCAAACACCTCAAACTCAGCCAGTTTCTGGAAATAGCATTTGGAAAACTCACCTTTTCATTTCATTTCTAAATATGGGAATTACAAATAGCTGGCTATCTAGGGGTTCAAAGTGTTTGGGAACGGGAACTTAGAAGTCATGATGTGCCCCTTCCAAATTTCAACCCATAAAATGTGTACCTTTTCCTCACCCTTCCTTCATAAATTCTTTCTTTCAGGAAGCTCAAAGAGGGAAAGGCCTTCCAATATTTTTCAATAGGGTTGACACTAGCATTTGTAGTGGGACATTTCTTTCTTCTGTATGACACTCTGCCCAATGCAGGACATTTAACACTCCTGCAACAACTCCCAGTCATGGGGCATTTTCAAACATGCCTTAGAGGTGACACTGCCTCCCCTACCACACACACACTTTGAAAACCATTGCCGTGACTTGCTCAAGGCCATAATAAGCCAGTGGCAAAGCTGAGGAGGCCAAGTCAAGTCAAATCCCATTTGTATATTCCAAGAACTTTTATTCTTCACCAGGGTGTCAGGAGAGCAGAAGGAATGTGGGCCTGAAGTGAGGCAGGGAAGAAGTGACTCCCTAAGCACAGAACTACTAGTACAATTTCTCACGATTTCTCTGCTTTTGCCAAACTCCCGTTTTCCGCCTCTAGCCCACCTAGCTCGCTCTTTCCGCAACTGCAGGCACAAACAGACTTTCTGGCAATTAGTGCAAAGAGCCTAGTGGAGCAGGATCCACGGGAGCGGAGTCAGGTCCCTTTTATTTGGGGGCGGGGGAGGGAGTGGGGGCAGCGGGATCCCAGTACTGAAACCCCGAGGTCTTGGCAGGGGAACAGCTGCCTTCCACTGTCATCAAGGAGAGAGCTGCGGGCAAGACCCCGGCCGCGGAACCGCGACAGGACTGGGCAGAGGTGGAGGACCCTCGACCTTCGCCGTTCGCCCCCGGAGGTTTTCCGGGGCTGGGGGCTACC